CATTGTGAGTTGCTGCAATGACATTTCAGCAAAATGGACTAGCCTGCTGCATCATTTTTTCACTGTGATTTTCAGGGTGTCTTTGAATTCAGTCCTCTGTAGGTTGATAATTTTAATTTCCATCAAACGATGGGGCATCCTTACATTCCTAGGGCCATTAAAGTCTCTTTTACTCACGGAAAAGGATAAGAATCATGGTAAACACAAACATTTAACTTTCTGTAATCTACACAGAACCTTTTTTCTTTACAAGGAGTATGAATGCAGCCCAGGGACTCCTGCTTCCTGAAGGCCCCTATTATGCAACAGATTCCTAACCTTTTGACAGATGGCTGGGGGAAGGCTAGAGGAATTTTTATGTATCTTTCTTTAATAGAAGCAGCATCCCCACTGTGTATAAGATAGTCCAGAGCGTAGTATATCTTCAACAAACACAACAGTATGTTTTATCAGTAACTCATATAACAGTTTATTGTTGATCAGGTTATAACTCACACACTAGCAAAGATGGCTGTTCTTCAACTGTTGATACTGAAATTCATCAAAGGCCAACATAGTGACTGTCAAGGAGGCCCATGCTGCTTCTACCTCAGGAAAGGATGTTGCAATATGCTTCTTTTTTGGACTGTGTAGACATCAGCAGTAACCAGCTGAGCAGGAATTTGAACAGGAGTAACTCCCACATTATCTGAATGAACACGTTCCCACAATGAACTACAGATAAAGTCCTGGATACCAGCCATTCTCACCTTACCTCCAGATCATGCCGGGACTTGACCATGACAGTAGCTCTTTAATGTTTTACTAGCTCTACAAGGATTGGACAAACTTGCTCCTGTGATGGTGGTATCTTTAGCCTATGTCAAGGTGGCAACCATACCACCCCCACCTTCTTCTTTGTCTGCTGGGTATTCTGTATCTGTTGAGCCTGATAATTGTTGGTCAGATTATGGAACTGGGTCTGTTTCCTCTAATCCCTCAAATGTGCTGCTGAAGTACTGTAACCTGCTGTAGTAGTCGACTTAAATCCAACTACTTCAGGCCCAGAACTGCTGGGTCATCACCAATCCAATCAATTGTCTAATCAAACACTAGGATGGACTTCCAGGCGACTCCGTCCACAGTGTTGGGAATATTGTTAGTTGCCTTCAAGGTAAACCAAGACAGGTCTAATGTTGAGACTTGTCTAAGCTGTCCCTGGTAGAAAGTATATTACATGTTGGTCACCTTGGACTAAGTGTAAACTGATGGCCATTCAAAATAATAAATGCCACTGGTCACGACGAGATAATTTCAGTGTTAAGTCTAGGACAGGCTGAAGCAATTCCCACAGGTTGCTTGATTACTCCTTGTTCCCAACTGTGATATGTCCAAATTGTCACACTGCCAACCCTTCCGGTTTACTCTGTGTTGGCGTCCCTTCAGCAGGGATTACTGCCTGGTGGAGCTTGACCCAGTGCTCATTTGACAGCAGATACTTCTTGCCAAATTGAAGCGATTGACTTGGTTAAAAATCTAACGGCACTTTCTAATGTAGATTAAAGAAGGGAGCAGCTACTTATTACCTCAATAATGGCCTTATGTCCCCATAGTGACTGCCACGCTGGCTTTTGTCTACTCCTGGTCTCACTCTACTGCTTTTTGAAGGATGTCAATAAACTCTACCATTGCATCAACTATCACACACTCTTTCAGTGCCCTGAAGGGATAAGTTTTAATCCCTATGATAAACTGACTCTAGATCACTTTAACCAGAGTTCTGATAGTAGCACAGCTTTGTTGGTCTTTTTCTGTCAGCCATCTTCACAGATCCAGAATGACTAATGAAATTGGGGTATGGACTCACCCTCTTATTGGCTCCACAAAAGGAATTTGCAGTTTAGTATTCTTTGGGAGATGTGTGCCTGGGGGACCTTTTTAGAGTAGTTTTACTTTGGATTCAAGTCCATGTCTCCCCGAAACACATAGACTCTGAGAACTGGATGATCCAGATATAATTTGAGATCTCTTTGTTTCGTTGGGGTATAGAACCAACAGCCCAAACCAGCATTGACTGCTTCAACCCCCTCCTAGAATCAGAAACACAAAGTAAAAGATTATAATCTGCTCAAACAACCTGATGCTGGGGTCTCTCTTTGCTATATGTAATCTGTTTATTAAGGTGTGAAGTGTCTTTCTTCCATTGTATAATTTCCCCATTGTGTGCCCCCTCGGTGTGAATTCCCAATGTTAATTGAGTAACCCATCATTTCTGTCTGTTTACTAATCCTCCTGATGTGATTAGTTCGGTGTCAACTTTACCTCATTATCTAACCATTGTGGGATGTTACCCTAATGTGTAATATTTGTTTTTTATTGTTCATTTGGGGACTGCCCCTATTTTTGAAATGTATAAAAAAACCTGTATTTCTGTTCAATAGTTATTTCTTTGGTTTTTACTTTACCCAAAGCATCATTTGTGTACAAGATGTTAAAGGGCTGGTATTAGCTATCAGTCTGCTGGAAGGGTTTGGAGGGCAGGAGGCTCAGTTTGGCAGAGACACCCAGGTGGGATGCCAGGTCGTCCATCACAGTACATAAGTACACTGCTCAAAAAAATTAAAATAACACTTTGAAAATACATCAGATCTCAATGGGGAAAAATCTCATGCTGGATATCTATACTGATATGGACAGGGTAATGTGTTAGAAACATAAGTATGTTTGATGGAAATTAAAATGATCAACCTACAGAGGACTGAATTAAAAGACACCACAAAAATCAGAGTGGAAAAAAATGATGCAGCAAGCTAGTCCATTTTGCTTAAATTTCATTGCAGCAACTCAAAATGGTACTCAGTAGTTTGTATGGCCCCTGTGTGCTTGTATGCATGCCTGACAACATTGGGACATGCTCCTAATAGGACAACTATAGTGTCCTTGGATATTTCCTCCCAGATCTGGACCAGGGCATCACTGAGCTCCTTGACAGTCTGAGGTGCAACCTGGTGACATCGGATGGACCGAAAGATGATATCCCAGAGGTGTTCTATTGGATTTAGCTCAGGCGAGCGTAGGGGCAATTCAATGGTATCAATTCGTTATTCCTCATTTCATCCTCCAGGAACTGCCTGCATACTCTTGCCACATGAGGCCGTGTATTTTCGTGCAGCCAAATGCAAAACTAGCAAAAAACAGTCAGAAGAGATGAGTAGGGAAAAAAATGTCAGTGGCCTCCACCTGTAAATCCATTCCTGTTCTGGGGGTAATCTCATTGTTGCCCATCTAGTACACATGTGTTTCATTAACACCAAAGCAGCTGAAACTGATTAAAAACCCCCTCTGCTACTTAACTGACCAGATCAATATCCCAAGAGTTTAATTGACTTGATGCTATACTCTGATTAAAAAAGTCTTCCTTTAATATTTATGAGCAGGGTATATAAAATAATGGTGAAGGTGTAAACTAGCTCAAATGTACAAACTACATCAGAGCAGTCTTCATATTTGTTACCATTTGTTTTGCATGGACTCTTTTATGTACACCACATGCACTATTGTGAAAAATTAATAGATCACTTATGAATTTATGTTTTAGTTTTATTCAATATAATGCAGCACTTTTCCCATTTGATTCAGTCCTCATACTACCCAACACTGAATATCAATGTTGTACAAATAAGGTCTTAATACTATACACTGTGTATAAAAGGTGTACGTGAGCTACCAGCTATGTATATAACATAGTATGCTTTAAGTAGCTTGTGTTTCCATCAAGCCCCAGTCCCCACCAGTTCAACTAAACAAGGACCCAGAGTTAGATGTGTTGGATCTAGGGCCTTTGCCTCTAGGTCGCAAAGGAGTAGTACTGGAGGATACACGGGGTAATAACCAATATCTAGGCTTCATCTATTTTTATATGACCTCCTTATAGTCAATATCTTATCTTTCAGTGTATAGAAAGAGAAAACAGTTGGACCAGAGGTTTATAATAATAATTCTTACCAGTCCCAAAATGGCAGTATTAATGTCGTCTAAGTATATGTATTCTGTGGGGATCCAGAAGTGAACGAAAATGTCCCAAAAACCTTAATTTCCATATATAGCATTAGAAAGTGCCCCTCTTCAAATGTGAATGGTTAAGCCGCTGTGGGGCATATCTCCAATCCATCTTGCACATCTGTCCCCCAGCTGCGTGTGCTCCATCATGGCCTTTAGTTTTTCTGGAGTCAGGGTACCACCCTGCCAATTCCAGCGGGATGACGTTACTGAGCCAGAAGGCCAGCACATGCTAGCTTCGCCTTCCAACAGGGAAGCTCAGTGAGGCATTGAAGAAGCATATCCAGTCACCTACCTGCCCAAGAAGAGAGTAAAACATCTCCCAGTTGTCAACGGCTTGTTAGATTTACACTTAATCCGCCAGAGGTGTGTGTGTACAACTCCCCCCCTCTGTCAGGTCCATGTGATGTACAGACCTGGCAGCAAAAGGGTTCAATTGCTTTTACTGCTTGATTAGATTTTAAGTACTTCAGTGTTCATGATCTGGGCAAAGGTTCAATTTAAATTTAAACCAGGCTGACCTAATGCTATAAATTTATAAATGCGATAAATCTTACCCTATATTTTATGCTTTTTGTGTTCTTGTTCCTGCCCTTCCTTACATTTCACCTGCAGGTTTAAAATTATAGGAACTTATATTTCACATAATCACCCTGAAGGCCAACTTTCATCTCCTCCTTCCTACAAGTTCAGAATCTCCAGAGATCTTGCAAGAGCAGCACACAGGGGCTTCAGGTATTCGCTATTCTTTTTATTACTATTGTCAGTTTGGTTTTGTGCAAAATTCTAAAAAGGTCAGATCATACTGAACATGAAGATTTTGATTTCTAGATATGGTTCAAAGTTATTTCATTTGCAAAATGGTAAGCCTAGAATGACTGCAATATACAATAAAATGTGTACTGCCAAAACAAAAATAGTTGTCAGTGTGACATCATGTTTGATGTTGCATGAGGTGTATTTCACCGAGGGACAGCAAACATCTTGTAATTCCGAGCTCTTGAAGCGTTGGTGTTGGGCTCTGGGGTGATCTCTAGGTCCTTCCTGTCCACTGTAGGTTTTAAAGTAAATGTTTGCAGTATAGTAATAAAAAACAAGAAAAGTTCCATACGAGCCAGCCCTTCTCCTGCACAAACGCGTTTACCTAGAGAAAATGGGAAAAGAAAATGAGCATTTCAATACCATTACAAAGCCAACCTGCAGGGCAGACTCATGCTTGTCAGTAACCTGGTGCCCAGGGACAACTGATTCTAGGCTGGTGATGCTGAAGGTCAGGGCTTTAGAACTCTATGCATCAGGTTTCTTAGCAGATACTGTGATTACATATTTAGTTTTATTCTGTTTTTTAAACATTTTATACAATTGTATACCTTAAAGCCCAACTTGATAAATGTAAACTCCTACCCATCCCTCTGTCTGATCCCTGGGTTAAGAAAAAAAACTCTCTAAATTCCCATTTTCACTTACCTTAAGCTATGGTCATGTCATCATCCAGCGCCGGGTACTTCTTGCTGTTTATTTCCTGGTGGGTCCTTCTTCTAGATGGTTAGTTAAGACTTTCTATTAGGATCCAGAAGAAGCCTGATCTCAGACAGCGGGAAGTGAAGGGTGCCAGCTGATGATTAACATGTGGGCACTTAACTAGCGTTCCTTGCAGGTGGAAACAGTGTCAGCAAGGGACCTGGATGGGGAACTCAGTTGAGTATAACTGACTTCATCAGGTAAGGAAAAAACATCAGTTGGCAGGAATGGTTAGACTGGGGTGGGGGGGGGGGAGGGATGGGAAAAAAATAGATTTTTGCCTTGAGCTGGACTTTAACAAACCACATTCTTGACCAAGGAGAGGAAAAGTATTGGCGCCCATGATCTGACTCCACTGCAGTCTTCTGGTTGTAGGGCAGCTATACAGCACAAATGATTGCCATGAAACTGCAGTTCTGTCCAGAGGATAAAACTTCAAAAAGCAAAAATCAAAGCAAATTAATGAATGCCCTAGTAAGTGTTGTCTATCTGGGATTCATTTTGATACATATTTATATTTTTACTCTTTACATTCATATGTATATTAAATTTCAACATCCATACTGTGCTATAATATGGAGGACATGTTGTGGAGGCTTGGATTGAATTGCTTTTTTTGGATTAGAGAGAGTCACTGTATAATAAAAATCACACAGGTTGAATTGGATGGACCTTTGTATTAATTCAATTTTATAAATGATGTAACTATGCATGGGTCTTAGATAGTTTTTGGTTCATAGAATGGATTTCCACTTTAATCATCACAAAGTTCTATGGTACCTGCAGAAAACGGCATGAAGGCATCATTCTTCTTAAAGGCCCCATTCTCTTCAAGAAAGTGGCCTGGATCAACTGAGTTGGGTTCTTAAACCAATTAGGGTCTTTTAAGACAGATGTTAGTATAGGAGCCACCACAGTGTTCTGAAATGAAAATAATAATAGGAACTAAATTATTGTCTTTGAGCTTCTTCAGAATCAATTTAAATTGTGTTGTTCTATAAATCAAGCCTTGGCAACCTCAGGTGCTCTAGCTACAAGGAACTACAAATGGGGTATCATAATAATAATATAAAACTTTGACATTAAATACTGAAGTGATATCTGCAGCAACAAATCAGATTGTTATTTTGATTTTCCAACTGCCATCTAAAAAGCTTAGTTGGGCATCAGTAGAAGTATAACTTTGGGAGCCTGTAATGTGTATAGTCTACCCGCCCTGCTTCTCGCATTACCAGTCACTTTCTAACTTCTATGGCAGGTTTGATTCTGATTGGACACATCTTGAAACATCAGAAACATCTTGGTACAGGCATTCTTTTACATAAGGCTGTATGTAGAGCAGAAGAGAAGCTTCAGTGAATCTTCCAGCATCTCAAATAGGCACATTCCAGGATCACCAGTCTAAAGCCAAAATGGAGTGTGGTGGACCTGTGCAGTTCAGCAATGTTTGAATGAAAAACTGAAGTATTGATCAGGTTGCCTGAGCTTGCTATATTCATCTCAAGGTTTCCTTGTGCATCTTTAAACTACTGCATGTAATTCTAGGTCTTTGTCACAGCATAACTCTATACAATTCAGATATGAAGTGTATCCTAGATTGTAAGCTCGAAAGAGCAGGGCCCTTGACCCCCTCGTGTTTTGTTTTGTTACTGTACTGTCTCATGTTCTGTCCCCCATTACAATGTACAGCGCTGAGCAAACCTTTTAGCGCTATATAAATACTGTATTATAATAATAATAATAATATTCTATGGGGTTGAAATACTGAAAGCAAATGGGCTGTGCAAAATAAAATTACTATTTTCAAAGAAATCTACACTTAACTTAGTCAATGAGGTGAAGCTCTGCTGACTTTCCATCATCAAATCATGTGCAAGCCGAATGCTGTTTTTTTAGTATTCTTGCCAATGATTGGGTATCCTTTGCAAAGTGAATTTTCACTATATTAGCTAGGCTTAGGGAAAATCCCTTTACTAGTGCATATTCCCCTGCAAGTGAACAGTCTATTTGCCATTAGTGAACATAAAAATATTATAGATGTGGTAATCTAGTGGCAACGGGTAAAAAAGACCAAAATCCATTATATTTACTATATTCTAAATTATTTAGGCATATAAAAATATTGCTGTAATACCGATTATCCAGAGGAAGGAAAAAAATTCCATTGAGGAAGCTGCATTCATTCTGACAGTGAGGGAAATGTTTTGTAAAATGTTTTAATGGTATTAATCATTGGACCTGGATTAAACAGTTAATTCATGAATTAGCTAACTATAACTAGACATGCCATTGCTGCTAGGAATTACATCCAGTTCACATTAAAATTCACATGTCTTGTTGATGATCACCATCCTGTTTGAAAAACAGTTTAAAAAAATAACCACAGATGGTATGAGGAACTCCCTTAAATGTTGATGAAGAAATGTTTTCAAAGGTAAGTGGATACCTACAGGTGACTTTTAGGCCGCTTTCACAAGGCCCCTTTCACAAGGGGCAGACTCCTTTTAGGCCCCTTTCACAAGGGGCAGAGTCCTTTTTGATATGCAGGGGATCTGATCCCCTGCTGATCTGAGTAGAGGCGGCAGATGATAGGCCTGTGTCCACTCAGTTTCTGTAGCTGATTGCCCTCCAGTTCCCTTCTGTTTCTTTGTAAGTGGATTAGATTGGATTTGATTGGAGGTAGGTGGATATAAACAGACAAAAGTCCATTTACACTCACTGGTCCACAGGCCTGAAAAACTGACAGGCAAACCTGATCAGATCCTTCATGTGAATGGGGTCTTACGAACCTTGGGTTTGTTTGTTTGTTTGTTTGTTTGTTTTTCTTATAAACCTCTAAAATACTTTCCTTGTATTAACTATAGCCCTTCTAATATGCTTTGCCATTGTTATCAACCTCTGGTATGTTCTTCATATAGTTAGATCACTAAAACAATGCAGAGTGCTTTACTAGTCTGTAAATTCCTTAAATTGTTTCTTCTTTTAGGCTTAAAAAGGAAAAATACGAAACAATGGGGTTTATTTACTAAATATAAATATACTGTGCACTGCAACAACACTTCAAGTGCATGGCAGGTGCAGTCACTTTAGATCCGAGGGGAAGCTCTGGAATTATTTCTTTCATCCAATCATGTGCAAGCAAAAATGTTGTTTTTTTTATTGTTCTTGCTTTTTCCTCTCTAATCTAGAGCAACCAACTGCACTTTCAAGCCTATTTTCCTTTAGTAAATAAACCCCATAGTCTTGCTAAAAACTGATTGCTAACAATACACGAGTGCACTTTGTACTATGTTCTTTATGAACATTAGTCCTACACATCTTTGAAGTCACCTTGGGAATGTGGTATCCCCGGAAGGTGGTGTCTTTGCTGGTTGCATGTAATAATCCTACAGGAAAAATATCAGCAAATCTCTGAATTTCATGTATAACAGCATCTGTATATGGCATCTTGCTCCTGTCCTCCACAGATGGAAGGCGATCTTGTCCAATAACGGTGTCAATCTCTGTCTGCACCTTTTCTGTAGATTGCATAAAAATTATGAAATAATTTAATTATAGATTTCATCATACAAAAATAATAACAGTAGTTATGACCAGCAAGTATGCAAACTTTCACACAAAGGCAGAACACACGCTAGAAGACTTGAGCCATGTATACATTACAGTACATGCTCCATACATTTCAAGGGAATCTTCCAGAAAAAAAAACAGCTGCAGAGGAAACTTCTAAACTGCCTTAGGCTGGCCATACACTATACAATTTTCTTACAATTTTCTTTCCAATTTCTGCCCAATTTCCTTTAGATTTACCTTCAACTATGTAGTGCAAGGGCCTGCCTAATTGGATACAATTGAAAGTGTTATTTAGGTTTGACCTCCTATTATATGTTTTTTGGTAAATCTAAAGCAAAAATCTCAAGAAAATTGTATAATGTATGGCCAGCCTTATAAATTTCGAGGGCTGGAGCAAGAGTCCAGAGTTGCTGCCAACACCATGAGTTCCACAGGAAGCACCCCTTGCACTTTCAGGGTCCCAAACACCAAAGAACAAGATCAGCCTTCACAACAGAGTAGTGAGAGGCCACTGGCCCCAACCTCATTACCCTCTTGAAAGGATAGTGCAACCCTATCTAGGAACTTAATTTGGGGCTTGCCCTTTTTACTGTGTGATCCAAAATCTTGAGCGCTCCAACACGGGAATCTAGGCCCCAATATTTAGTACCATACAGGCCAGTGGGAAAGGTTTTTAGGATACTCTAGTACCCCTCAGCTTCTAGGCGAGCATCATTCCCCCCTCCCCCAGATTTAGGATACAGGTACCTGGATTGGGTCTAGAAATAATTTGTTTTTGCATTGTTGTTTTTGTAATGTACAACATTGTTTTAATTTGTGGCTGTTTATTTCAGTTGACATTTTTTGTTGTTGCCTCATTGGGTGTTTAGACAACACATGCTCCTTCTTCAATCTTCATGTGTCAGAGGGTGTGGCATTGCCTGAAGGGTCGTTCTCATCCGGAATCATGGGACCTATCCATCAGCCTTTCCTTCAGGGGTAAATGCTACAGTGATAATATCCTTGCCCATTATAATGTTGAACCATATACTTATATTAAAATTTAGAGTTTGTGTTTGAGTTAAAGAGTGGTTTAGGATTTAGTGGTTTGGTTAAAATGGAACTTTAGGCACAATTTAAAATGCAAGTTCCACCAAGAGAAGCAAAACTATGAAGTTTTTCTCTTATCGATCCCTCACCTTTTCTATATTATTGCTTGATCTGTAAAGTCACTGCAGGCATGCATGCACACTATCTACTTCAGTTCTTGCAGATAAGAGATTCTGGGAATGTAAATGATAAACTTGCTGATGAGGGTAACTCCTATTTGTACAGAACAAAGACACCTCACACCTGATTGCTATGTAACATACCTTTGGTTAAGTAATATAAATATTTATAGTGCCGCGCTCCTATTTTTATATATATATATAGCTAAATCAAATCTACTCTCATTCTAATAAATACATAAATTGATACCTAAAAAGATAATACATAAATCACTGTGATTAGTGAAAAAGAAATAAATAAATTGTGAATCTCTGTGACTTGTGAATCAATTAAGAATGGATGAATATAAATAAATCAAAAACCTTAATTGATGTGGCTGATATCAATCAAACAAAAATCCTTAATTAATGTGACTAATAAATGGATATAAATTAGGTATAAAAACCTAAATCTGTGCCACTCTAATCATATATAATCAATCCATCAATTTTGTGCAAAAACATATATAAATGTGCAAGTGCAATCAATAAAGTCCATAAATAAAGTCTTTTAAAAAAGTGCAATGTGCAGGTGAATTCCTTAATCCCTCTCGCCAGGTGCCTTGTGGTCTCCCTATGCGCTCACCTTGATATTTGCCTAAATAAATTCAGGCAAATAAACTTTTAATCCTTCCAGGACTGATGGGATAATACTCATGTATAAGATGTTCCAAGAGGTGGGTGTAGATCAATTGGGATCCTCCTGTGCTCTCCTCTTTCTCTTTGTGCAGCTGCTCATAGGTGGATATTTTGACCAGCTCTATAGGAATCTCCTAAGTTCCCCTCCTGGGGTCACCTCCTTCTCATATCCTCCTTTCTCCAGCATGGGGAATATAGGTTAGATGAAGAAAAGAAGAGAAAAGACCATGGTGCCTTATCCTTTTGTATAAAGGGAATTTATTACTGCCAGTTACGGTATTACACAGCGGTTTATGGCTCTTTTGAGATCCAGGACAGCATAGGTTACATCAGTCAGTAGTGAGTGAGTAATACTCTGCCTCTGCCTCTGTCTCCCTGCCTGCCTCTGTCAGCGCTGGAATCGCCGAGCCTCTCTGATGCAACGTCGTGACGAGAGCCCCTCCCCTGGGAGGATTAAAAGTTTATTTGCCTGAATTTATTTCATTTATTTATTTCCATTTATTAGTCACATTAATTAAGGATTTTTGATTGATTGATATCAGCCACATCAATTAAGGTTTTTGATTTATTTATATTCATCCATTCTTAATTGATTCACAAGTCACAGAGATTCACAATTTATTTCTTTTTCACTAATCACAGTGATTTATGTATTATCTTTTTAGGTATCAATTTATGTATTTATTAGAATGAGAGTAGATTAGATTTAGCTATATATATATAAAAATAGGAGCGCGGAACTATAAATATTTATATTACTGTACAAACACTAGCAAGTGAGTCTGTGTAAGTGCCAGCGCACCAAGCACATTATATTAGTAGATAATTATTTATAACCCACTGAATACCTCATTCATAATAGCTCACAAGTATTCACAATTTACAGCATACCTTTGGTTAAGGCTGCTTTCACACAGGAGGACTGATCGGGTCTGCCTATCCAATTGGGCCATGTGTCCGTTTACACCCGCCTGCATTCAATCCGCTAAGAACAGATGGATGACAGTTGGTTGTAAGCAGACATGCGGTTCATTTACATCTGACCTCCACATAGAGAAGAGTGCGCTGAGTCCATTCCAATTTGCACAAGCACGGACATGGACCTCTCATCCGCCTGCTCAGAGGGGATCAGTAGATAGATTCCTCATGATGCAGGGGAATCCATTTACATCTGACCTCCCCATAGAGAAGAGTGTGCTGTGTCCATATCCGCTTTGCACAAGCACAGACATGGACCTGTCATACGCCTGCTCAGAGGGGATCAGTAGATAGATTCCTCATGATGCAGGGGAACCCATTTACATCTGACCTCCCTATAGAGAACAATATGCTGTGTCCATGTCCACTTTGCACAAGCACAGACACAGAACTGTCATCAGATAGATTCCTCGTCACATAGTTACATAGATAGTCTGGCTGAAAAAAAGACAAAAGTCCATCCAGTTCAACCATTAAAAAAAAAAAAAAAAAAAAAAGTTATAATCCTATAACAACAATTGATCCAGAGGAAGGCAAAAAAACAGCAAAGCATGATCCAATTTGCTCCTGCATGGGAAAAAATTCCTTCCTGATCCCCAGAGAGGCAATTGGATATTCCCTGGATCAACTTTACCTATAAATGTTAGTATCCAGTTATATTCTGTGTATCTAAGAAAGAATCCAGGACTTTTTTTAAAGAAATTCACGGAGCTGGCCAGAACCAACTCTTGAGGGAGTCTATTCCACATTTTTACAGCTCTCACTGAAGAAACCTTTCCATGTTTGGAGATTACATTTCTTTTCCTCCAGACGTAAAGTGTGCCCCCTTGTCCTCTGTGATGACCTCAGGGGGAATAACTCTACACCGAGTTCACTATATGAACCACTGATTTATTTATACATGTTGATCATATCAACCCTTTTGGGGTTGCAGTCCACTCATTTGAAAAGGGCCTTACAAACAAGAAATATGATTAGCAGGTCAAATGAGGACTTGATGATGACATGTGCTTTGTTTCCAATTTAAATTAACCTTAATTTTATCCCTTTTTGTAGTATAAAAAACATTTTTTTTAAACAAAGCTATAATATGGCCAGTAGCGCCACAGATGGATTTGGAGCAACAAATAATGTACAGTATAAGGAGCAGAGGTAATACCTTGTATCTCTGGGTGTTTCAGCATTATTAGGAAAGCATATCTCAGAGTACTACTTGTAGTCTCTGTACCAGCAAAGAATAAGTCAAGGACTGATCCCAATAGGTTTTCCTCGTGATATTCCGTATTTGGGTTTTCTCTCTCCTGAAAGAAAAAGACACAATTGTAGGTAAATGTCTATATATGCTTATTGTATAACAAACCAAGACGCAAATAAATAAAAAAAAAACAGGCAGATGGGCTACCAGCCATGATACCTATATGTAAGGTATATTCTTAGTTATTTAGGTACTCCCTACTTGTTATTTTTGTTTTTTTTTTCTAGGCTTACATCTATGCATTTTTTTTAGTGCATCTTCAGATCTGCAGAAAAACACTGCAGGCCATTTAACCTTATTTATGTGCAATACAAGAACCTTATATAACATCAACAGCTCTTATTTCAGAAACCAAGATGGCCACGGCGGAATCGTGTATGCGAAGTAGCGTGTGCTCAAGGTTCGTCAGAGGTGATATCATCAAGGGCACGAGGTGACATCAACTCTGAGGAAACATGTTGGACGGAGCTGGAACACATGCAACTGCGCATGCTTGATTCCGCCATGGCCATCTTGGTTTTTGGAAAAAGAGCTGTTTGTGTGATATGAAGTGCGTGGTGCCATGACCTTTGTAAAGTAAATGCATTTAGCACATTAAGCTGGTGTTTTTACCTGGATTACACCATGGAGAGCACTTCTTTTCTCTTTCATTATATAATTTCAAAACTGAGCATATGTGAACTGTGATATATAACAAAGTAGCAGTACAATCGTTTCACATGTGGTTCTGAGGGAAGCATCTTGGAGTAACACACAAGCGCTGGTTGACCACTCTTTATTGTGGGTCATATAATTCCAGTAAGCTTCCCTCTTTTGTGCACCGAGGTGTTGTGTGGTTTTAAAAGTGGGAAAGTTGGTGGCTTTTGTGATCCACATATATCACTCCCCTCATGATTGGAAGACTGCTGAATACAAGTTTGGTTCTTTATTTGGACTTTCTGATTTATCTTATTATTATATTGTGACGCATATTAGTTTGTATTTATTTTTATTGGGTGATTGTATTGCACATATATTAGTTGTTTTCATATCTTCATTTTAGCATTGTACTATTGTTCTGTGATACTTTGTTATGCTAAGTATTATAGTACTGTGCTAGCTGCTACTCACTTCAATATTCACTAGAGCCCTAGAGTGTTTTTTTTTTTTCAGTTTAACCACTTGCCTTCCGGAGGATTTACCCCTCTTCCTAACCAGGCCATTTTTTGTGATACTGCGCTGTGTTACTTTAACTGACAATTGTGCAGTCATGCAACGCTGCTCCCAAATGGAATTTACGGCCTTTTTTTTCCCACAAATAGAGCTTTCTTTCTGTGGTATTTGATTGTCTGTGCGTTTGTATTTTTTTTGCATTATAAGCAAAAAAAGACCGACAATTTTGAACAAAAAACCAATACTTTTGACTTTTTGCTATTGAACATGTCCAGTAAAAAATTTTTGAAAAATCTAATTTTGTCATAAATTTAGGCCAAAATGTATTCTACTACATGTCTTTGCTAAAACAAAAATGCCATTATGTGTAAATTAATTGGTTTACGTGAAAGTTATAGCGTTTACATCTGACGATATATATACTGGATTTTTTTTTTTTACTAGTATTGGTGGCGATCAGCGACTTATAACGGGACTGCGGAGGGTATTCTAACACTGAGGGGAACTGAATTGGTGTCACTGACATTCCCAGTGATACCAATACAGTGATCAGTGCTAATAAAAAGCACTGACACTGTACTAATGGCATGGGCAGGAAGGGGTTAACATGTGGAGCGATCAAAGGGTTAACTGTGTGCTGTTTTACTATGGAGGCTGTGTGTGTGTTTCACTGTGAGCACACTGCTTTGTATGGCTGCGCTATGCAGAGCCATACAAAGAAGTGTGCAGGAGCTGACAGGGGAGAGATCTGTATTGTTTACATACAGGTCTCTGCCCCATTGGAAATCCTCGGAGATCGGCGAGTGCTGGTGGGGAATCACCGGCGATTGACAGAGCAGCGAATGGCGGTGCACGACCCTACTCAGCACTGCAAAATCATATGTATATATACGTGATTTTGCACACCCATGCTCCCTGTAGCAGTATTTCTGCTATAGGGTGGTATGGAAGCGGTTAACATCAATATATAGCTTGCCATTGGCCAAAATAAAAAATGCAAGATGCATCAAAAGTACACATGAAAAACATGCAGCAAAAAGGCGCCACAAAAACACATCAAGCGCACATGCATAGATGTGAACCTAGCCTTAGGCAGGAAGTCAGCAACCTTGCTGAATATCTGCAGTTCAGTAATTAGTTACAAGACCAACAGATCCCATTAACATATTTCAAAAATGTATTTCTGTGTACAGTTTGTCTGCCCTCTGAAAATATTCTATAGGTTATCTGCTAAAAGTATTTTTACTACTTAAAATAATAATATTTTCTCCAGACTCAACATAAAAGAGACAAATGTTTCCCCATCAATCCACCAGCTTCAGTCATTCCTGGACTCACCTCTTCCATCTTTATGAGGAAACAGTCTATGAAGTCTTGTGGACTGTTCTCATCCAGAACTTCTTGGTGTGACTTCACTGTCTCCCTTATAAATGCCCTCAGCTTTTCAAAATTGATAAACATTTTCTGATGGGGTCCAGGAAGTTTGCTTATCAGTTTTGGGAACATGCCTAGGATCTAAAACAAAAATGTGGTTTTAATATAGAATGTCAATAAATCAACATGCTCTGAATTTATTTCACAAGATAATATAAGCCTCAGAGTTGTCACTCTCTCTGTAAGGTTTCCTGTCGTTGGATAAATTATTACATTCAATTCAGGAAGGTTGATGGATGGTTGGCCAGTTTTAGGCCAAGTCTTTCGTAGAGATGAATCCAATATATCACCAGCACACCATATTTAGGCAAACAGACAGATCATTTTAATGTCAACAAATTAAATCTGTAATGTTTCAAGCCCACTATGGGCCTCTTTCTCTTAGCAGTGACATGGGGTTAGGGTCACTGCCTCCTGAAGGAAGAGTCTTTAGGGGCCTCAAAGTCTTACTGCTTTGTGTTGGTGACATTGAAGTACCCAGTCTATTTATATAAACATTGTGTGTTGGTGATATCTTGAATTGGACATATGCTTTTGGCAGCTCCATCCACCATTTTACAACAGCATCCCAGCATATCACTGGATCTCATTGTTATATGGAGTGACCTGGACTTTTTTGGAGGTGATTTACAAAAACTAATGCACACATAATATGGTGCAGCTGTGCATAGTAACCAATCAGCTTCCAAATTCAGCTTGCTCAATTAAGCTTTGACAATTAATACCTAGAAGCTGATTGCTTACCATGCACAGCTGCACCAGATTCTGTGTGCCCCAGTTTTAGTAAGTCTCTCTCCTTGTATTTTTGGAAGAAATGAGACATTGCATAGTGCAACCTCAGTGTTTCTATCCCTTGGGACTTCAATGGTAAAATCTCCCAGCTGGAAATCTATGCTCAACTCATTATGCCCTACTCCCCAGATATATTTTCATACATAATAAAGGTTCTTCACCATAGTAACAAAAAATTAAAGGTCAGCAGCTTCAAATACTGTAGCTGCTAACTTAAGAAAACACTTACCTGTCCAGCGCTGTCCTCACCTAAGCAGTTCTTCACCGGCCAGCATTTTAACTGTGGGCAGCCAGCTTTGACTCCTTGCGGCTTCACCTCTGGCTGCCCACTGCACAGTGTGAATGGTCCTGTACCCTTCTGCCACCTGTGATGTGTCCCTAAAGGCTGCAGGCAAGGTGGGGGGACTTCAAATGAATCTGCTGTGCAAATCTGACCAGAAGTGGGATCAGGTACCTGTCAAAACCAGGTACCAACTTGCCCTCCCCAAAAATTAGTAACAACTAACACTAGAATGTACTGTTGGAGGCAGCATAGGCTTTATGTGCAGAACACTATACAGTATTGCCAAAAGTATTGGGCCAGCCCTCCAAATCATTGGATTCAGGTGTTCCAATCACCTCCATGGCCACAGGTGTATAAAATCAAGCACCTAGGCATGCAGACTGCTTCTACAAACATTTGTGTAAGAATGGGTCACTCTCAGGAGCTCAGTGTATTCAATCATCGTACCGTGATAGGTTGCCACCTGTGCAATAAGTCCATCCATGAAATGTCCTTGTTGCTGAATATTGCACGGTCAGCTGTTAGTGGTATTATAATAAAGTGAAAGCAACTGGGAACAACAGCAACTCAATCACAAAGTGGTAGGCCATGTAAAATGACAGAGCGGGGTTAGTGCATGCTGAAGTGCACAGAAGTTGCCAACTGTCTGCAGAGTCAATAGCTATAGACCTCCAAACTTTGGGTGGCCTTCAGATTAGTACAACAACAGTGTGTAGAGAGCTTCATGGAATGGGTTTCCATGACCGAGCAGCTGCATCCAAGCCTTACATCACCAAGTGCAATGCAAAGTGTTGGATGCAGTGGTGTAAAGCATGCTGTCACTGGACTCTCTGGAGTGACAAATCACGCTTCTCTGTCTGGCAATCCAATAAACGTGTCCGGGGTTTGGCGCTTGCCAGGACATCAGTGCCTGACCTCACAAATGCGCTTCTGGAAGAATGGTCAAACACTCCCGTAGATACACTCCTAAACCTTGTGGACAGCCTTCCCAGAAGAGTGGAAGCTGTTATAGGTGCAAAGGGTGAGCCAACTCAATATTGAAACCTACGGACTAAGACTGGGATGCCATTAAAGTTCATGTGCATGTAAAGGCAGGTGTCCCAATACTTTTGGCAATATATTGTACGTTTTACAGTACAGACCATCAAACAATGATCGGTTCATGTTTCCTCAATTATAACAAGATTTCTGACTTCTCTCAACATCTCCTTAACCCTTTCCACTACAGTGAAATAGGCTTTGGCTAATGATGTCCAGATGTGTCAATTATCTGGGTATGCAAAAGCTTACACCATGAAATCCTAAAAGAGCTACTGTAGGTAATGTTTTTCAATGATTGATGAAGTTTATATTTCCTTAAAGAATGCATATGTAATGTATACCTTGTTATCCGTGGCATAACATCCATGCATGCAGAGCATGTAGGGCACACAAGCCCCATGGAAAGGGGGGCCCACTGTGCTCTGATCCATATTGCACACATGGTAGAGACAAGTTTGAGGTTCTGAAGCTGACTCCTATCTCTACCAGTGCTTGGCTCCTGTCACAGCATCCTGTGTGACTCTTGCTGCCTGGAAGCTGCAGCCAGCTGTTTGGTAGTGAGTCTGACATCATGGGGGGGGGGGGGGAGGTGATGATGTCATCCTAACCACCAAGAGCCTTGGGGAAAGGAAAACTCCCATAGAGCTGAGAACTATCTGAGGTCTGAGGAGGGAGGTGGAATTGTGCACAATATGACAGACTGATGAGGAAGAGGGGGGTGTACTTATTGTACTGGGGGACAGACTGCAGCCCCTTATGTAATGTGCCCCCATGTAAAGTACCTTCCTGTGCCCCCATGTAATGTGCCCCCACATAATGTGCCCTCCTGCCCCTGAATACTGGGCCCTATGTACCTCCTGTAAACTGCCCTGGTGACCCCTATAGTTTGCCGTGCTGACCCCATGTTTTGCCCTGCTAAACCCCTGTTCTCTGCCCTGCTGACCTCTTGTGCTCTGCCCTGCTAATCCCCTGTACAGTGATTATCTCAGGTTTAACCCATAATTGAGCATCTGTGCAGAAAAAAAGCAAGCTCAAGGTTCTATTAAAACAGTACATTTTAATATTTATTCTAATACTTAAAGTGTTACTAAACCCACAACAGTGAAATCAGTCTATATATGCAGTAAAGCATGCTTGTTATACTCACTGTGGAACCTAAGGATAACCTTATCCTTTGCATTGTGTAAAAAGGATGTTTGGTCCTGTATTCTCTGATCCTTCCCTTCTTCCAGTGTCCTCCTCTTACAGTATCTCCTGATAAGACATATTGTGTGGAGACACTCTGCACATGCTCAGTTTGGTGTGTATTGGTAGAGAGGGGGTTTTTTTTTTGTCTTGGGAGAGTGCATGTGATCAGCACAGGGCCAATCAGCACACTGCAGACAGAGGTCGGGGGTTCTGCATCCTCCTAGAGTAAAAAATGAAAACTCCTCCTATAAGCTTTAACAAGTGCTCAGCTGGACACTGATAGAAGTCACAACACTGCTATATATAGTTGCAAGAAAAAGTATGTGAACCCCTTGGGATTACGTGGAGTTTTGCATGAATTGGGCATAAAATGTGCTCTGAACGTCATCTAAGTCACAACAATAGAAGAACACAGTCTGCTGAACATAATACTACACAAACATTAGATGTTGCCATGGTTTAATTGCACATAACATGTAAACATTTACAGTGCATGGAGGAAAAAGTATGTGAACCTTTGGACTTAATAACTGACCATCCTTTGGCAGCAATAACCTCAACCAAACATTTCCTGTAGTTGCAGATCAGACCTGCACAACGATCTGGAGTCATTTTGGACCACTCCTCTTCACAAAACTGTTTCAGTGTAGCAATATTCTTGGGATGTCTGGTGTGAATTGCTCTCTTAAGATCATGCCACAGCATTTCAATCGGGTTGAGGTCAGGACTCTGACTGGGCCACTCCAGAAGGCGTATTCTGTGCTGTTGCAGCCATTTTTTGGTTGAATTACTTGTATGCTTTGGGTCATTGTCCTGTTGCATCACCCATCCTCTGCAGAGCTTCAGTTGGCGGACAGATGGTCGTACGTTTTCCTGCAAAATGTCTTGTTAAACTCTGGAATTCATTTTCCCATCAATGACAACAATCCATCCAGGCCCTGAGGCAGCAAAGCAGCCCCAAACCATGATGCTCCCTCCGCCATGTTTTACAGTGGGAATGAGGTTTTGATGTTGGTGTGCTGTGCCTTTTTTTCTCCACACACAGTGCTGTGTATTCTTCCCAAACAACTCAATCTTGGTTTCATCTGTCCACAGTATATGTTGCCAGTAGTGCTGTGGAACATCCAGGTGCTCTTTTGCAAACTTCAAACATGCTGCAATATTCTTTTTGGACAGCAATGGCTTCCTCCGTGGTGTCCCTCCCATGTACTCCATTCTTGTTTAATGTTTTCCTTATTGTAGATGTGTCAACAAAAATGTTAGCATGTGCCAGAGATTTCTGTAGATCTTTAGCTGACAGTCTGGAATTCTTCTTTACCTCATGCAGCAATCTGCGCTGTGCTCTTGCAGTCATTTTTACAGGATGACCACGCCTAGGGAGAGTAGCAACAGTGCTAAACTTTCTCCATTTGTAGACAGTCTGTCTTACCGTGGACACATGAACATCAAGGCTTTTGGAGATACTTTTGTAACCCTTTCCAGCTTCATGCAAGTCAACAATTCTTGATGGTAGGTCTTCTGAGTGCTCTTTTCTGCGAGGCATGGTTCACATCAGACAGTGCTTCTTGAAACCAGTAAACCCAAAACAGGTGTGTGTTTTTTAAGGGCAGGACAGCTATCAGCAACACATCCAATATCATCACACTGATTGAAGTCAAGGTTGGCTCACTCCTGGCTCCAATTAGCTCTGGGAGAAGTCATTAAGCTAGGGCCTCTCATACTTTTTAATCCCTGCACTGTGAATGTTTACATGTTATGTGCAATTAAACCATGGCAA